TAAACTGGTTCTAATTTTCCACCCAACTTGCTCTTTTTTCCTTTTATTATCCGCAAAGCAAGTACGGATGTGATTCTGTGAAATATAAAACAATCAATGGTTAAACACCTCCACAAAGCAAGTATGGATAATTTGTAATTATTAACTGCACTTGGTCAAGGCCTATGCGATACTGATGTAGCACATCCCTGGGTGTGTTAGTTTAAACACTTAGAGCAATAAGACAGAACAAATGAGAAAAGCCGAAGGGAAGAAAAGGTAGAAGGCAGACAGAAATCAGAGAGTTTAAAGGAATGTTTAATCAATATTCAAATCTGAATTGTAAAGAACTACATAGGGTATTTATAGCAAACTACAACCTAGAGACAATAGAATTAAAATCCCCAGGTAAAACAGAAATCCTATTCCTAATAAAATAGGAAACTTAGAAATCCTAATAGGATTTGGAAAACTAACTTAGAAATCTTACTAGGATTTGGAAAACTAAAGAATATAGGAAACTAACAAATCAATTAGGAAACTAAACAATTTAGGTCCTATGCATCCTGCATCACATACCATAAAAAATACATCGGTCGTTGTCCAATCCGATATTTCTACTTCCTCCAACTGTTGTTGTCGCTTCCGGATGAGATACAAGCCCAAATCAATGTGCTGCACATGTTTTCCTTGTCAATCTCATAATCTATGCACATTCAAACAAATGCATAATCAATTAAACTTACATCTCCTTTCAGCCAACCGTCAGCTTTGACGAGGGAAGCGAAGAATTCAATCTCAGCGTCCACGTTGCCAAATTGCATCACTAAACTATGAATATAAAAAAGTTTTAGAACACAACAATTAAAAAATATATACACTCATGCCTTCTATCTCAAAAAACAAAGGACTTACTTTGGGTTATGGCGCCATTCCTAACAAAGTTTCAGCAATTTCACCATGTCATCATGCGGAATCGCCTTTATTGGGTCTAACGTCCGACGTCGGGTTGTCTTTGGCAAATTTTTTTGAACCACTTCACTAGCTTCAACGATCTTCCACATAGGAATAATCATCTTCGTCTTCTGTAATTGGACCCCTCGTTCCACACCTTGACCTTCATCATTCAACCAAACGTTCAACTGAGATAACACAGCTGTAGGTTGATCCAAATCAATGTCCCCGAGAGTAAACTCAACCTTTGTCCCCTCC